GATCCCGGGACACATGAAGGAAGGGCGCGATCCCGGGACACACGGAGCACGGGGGCATCCCGGGACATACGGCGGAGGGGGGATCCAGGGACATAAGGAGCAAAGGGGGATCCCAGGACACATGGAGCAAGGGGGCGACCCCGGGACACATGAAACAAGGGGACGATCCCGGGAAAAAAGGAGCAGGGGGAGATTCCGGGTCATACGGAGCAAGGAGGGATCGAGGGACTCAGAGAAATGGGGCGATCCCGGGACACACGGAGCAGGGAGAGATCCTGGGATACAGAGAGCAGGGGGGCATCCCGGGACGCACGGAGCAGGGGGGGATCCAGGGACACAGGGAAGAGAGGGATATCCCTGGACACAGCAAACGGGGAGGGATCTCGGGACACAGCGAACGGGGGGGATCCGGGGACACGGGAAACAGGGGAGTGGATCCCGGGACATAAGAAACGGAGTGTGGGGATGGATCCCGGGACACATGGAGCAGGAGGGGTCCTGGGACACACGGGGCAGGGGAGAATCCCGGGGTGCAGAACAGGAGGGGGTCCCGGGACACACGGAGTGGGGGGGATACTGGGACACAGGGACCGAGGGAGGATCCTGGGACACATTGGACAGGGGGATCCCTGCACACAGGGACCTGGGGAATGTCAGGACACGGGGATCGGGGATGGATTCTGGGACACAAGGAGCRAGGAGGGATCCTGAGACACTTGGGACCGGGGGGATCCCTGCACACCGGGACCTGGGGAATCTCAGGACACAGGGAATGGGGCTGGATTCTGGGACACGCAGGACAGGGGGGATCCCGGGTAACAAGCGGCAGAGGGGGGTCCTGGGACACGGGAGCAGGGGGGCATCCCTGCCCCTCACCCTTCCCGCCTCCCAACACCTGTACACCACAGCTGGGTGGAGCGTGCAAGGACTCACAGCTGGACGTGAGAACATCTGGGTGAATGCACACATCTGGGCRCATAMACATCTGGACACACGTCCACACCTYTATCTGGGTACATGTACACATCTGGGCATGTACCTCTCTAGGTATATACACACTTGAGCACATGCATACCTGGACACACACACATCTGGGCACATACACATCTGGGCATGTGTGYGCACACGCACACACATCTGGGCACATGCACACACCTGGGCACAGGCACATCTGGGCATGTGCACATCTGGTTGCATGCACACCTGGTCATACACCTACCTGGACACATGTACATGTGGACACATGCACACCTTGATGCACACACATCTGGGCACGCGCACAGCTGGCCACATGCACATCTGGTCACACACAGCTATCTGGGTACATACACTTCTGGGCACGTTAATAGCATGAARCACACACATCTGGGCACATGGACACATGCACACCTTGGCACGCACACATCTGGGCACCTGGCCACATGCACACACACACATCTGGGCATGCACACACCTGGCCATGTGCACATCTGGTCGCATGCACACCTGGTCACATACACCTATCTGGGCACACACACATGTGGGCACACTGACACCTTGAAACACACACACCTGGGCACACGTACACCTGGCCACATGCACCCCCTGGCACGCACACATCTGGGCATGCACACAGCTGGCCATGTGCACATCTGGCCTGTCTGCAAAGCACCTTGTGGCTCTGCCCCGGGTCCGTGCACACCCCCGTGGTGTCTGTGGGGCTGGGGACACCCTCCCGCCCAGCGGGACMCGGGTCCCATGGGAGATGCCTGTGGGCAGTGCTCGCTCTGGGACTGGAGCCGTGGGCACCAGGAGCCCCCCCTGTGGATGCTCCCCCCAACACGGGGGTCCTGCCAGGCCCATGAAGCTGCTCCCGGTGCTTCCAGACACAAAGGGCTGCTCCGGCTGCAGCACCCAGGAGCATCCGGGGTGCAATGGGACCGGGCAACCCTTTCCAAAGAGCCACCGCGTCCCCCTGCGTCCCCACGTCCCCCGCCGGAGGGAAAGCCCGTCCCAGGGTGGCTTTGGGGCCAGCCTGGCTCCGTGCTCCCGGGCACGGCGGTGCCCGGCACTGGGCATCCCGGGGGAGCGCAGGATCCCATAGAGGCTGCGGGCCGGCGCCGGGCTCGGCTCCCGCCGGGCTCCCCGCGGTTATTTTTGGGGCAGAAAAGCCCCGCTTGATTCATGGCTTTTCCGGGCCGCCCCGCGCCGGTGACGCCAGCCGTGAGCTCAGCGGCCCCGGGGGAGCCCCGCGGCCGGCGCGGATTAGAGGCGGCCGCCGCATTCCTGACCCGGCCTGACACCAGCGCTGCAAACGCGGGATTTGGCCCCAAAGGGCCCGCGGGGGCAGCCGGCTGCGGCGCGTCCCTCCRGATCCCGGAGCCGCCGGGCTCCATCCGCTCCGCGGCACCGCGTGGGTGCCGGGCGCGGCGGCACGGCACCCAATGGGCCCAATGCAACGGGGCGCCCACAGGTCCCCGGGGTGCACCCTGCAGCACGCCGGGTCCCCGGGGATTTTGCAGCAGCCGACCCCACGGATCCTGGTGGGAAGCAGCCTGCAGGCTGGCCGGGAAGGGGGAGGCTCTTCCCGAGGGCGCCCGGCTCTGCAAACAGTGACGCAGCCGCTGCCAGGAAGGGGCCGGCGGCGCCGCGGGCTGCCTGGCAGCGCCTGGCAGGGCCCCCCCGGGCGCGGCGCCCAAAACGGGGACCCCCCGGCGGGCGCCGGGCCTCCCGCGTGGTCCCCGTCTCCGTTGGGCTCCTGG